GCGGCATAGTTTACAGATAGCAACAGTCAGCTTGTTGGCTGCTGCTGCTCTGGCTGAGGGCTCCTTTCTACCGCCCGGACGAGAGAGGGTAATTAGACCCTCCAGAAAAACGCGATTCTGCGATCGCAGAATTTACCGCATAATCAGCAAAATGGCGCAGATTTCTAAAAGGCCGCATATTTATCAAAAGGCCGCATAATCCCCGCATTTTTCCACACAAAGTTGAGAAAAAAAAAAGTTAACTCATCTTGACGTCATCAGCTCGGACATCACAGAATGTAAACAACACTGTATAGAGTGAACGTGTGGAACTCACACGATAGAGAAAACACCAAGATGAAAAAATCTAATCCATCTCATTTAATGACGAACATTTCTACTAAAGACCGGGCAAAAAGTGGGGGGAAACTATTCTGCACCCCGTGCAACTGTGTGTTGGAGCATAAGAGAAAATCGACGGTGACGACCCACTTTGATTCATTCAAACATTCGAAAATGCTTTCTGCTGCTGCGGACAAGAAAGCCAAACAACTCACGTTCACCGAGGGATCAACCTCCAAAACCCTTTCGAGGGCTACAAGAAACGAAGTGAGTAGCCTACAAGATTGAAGCTGGTCAGATAACGAACGAGTAAATGAAAACAGAATGAGGCGGAGATGTGTGTGTGTGTGTGTGTGTGTGTGTGTGTGTGTGTGTGTGTGTGTGTGTGTGTGTGTGTGTGTGTGTGTGTGTGTGTGTGTGTGTGTGATTAAAATAGCCCAATTGCTTTTACAATAAATAAACATTGAATGTGTTTAAGTGAATAGTAAAGGGGTTTAACGTTAGTGGCAGGTTGTGTGTGAGAGAGAATAAATAAGACAGCCCAATATTTAAAAAAAAATATCGATAATTTTTTCCCGCATATTTCGCAACTTTCCCGCAGTTTCACCGCATAAAATCACATAAAAACCCCGCATGTTTAATCGCATAATCAAGGAATTTAGCCCGCGTTTTTCTGGAGGGTCTAATCATTAGGTGGGCAATAGGTTTGCAGAGCTTGTCGAGTTTCTATTTCTGATTTATTGCATTTAATATACTAATACTATTATATATTACAACAGGCAGAGATTTCTTATTTTAATGGCTTTTTCTTCCCGTTGTTTTGAATTAATGCAGCGTTCTTTCTTGTATTATTTCATACAAAGGTTAAAAGCTTGTTAACATTTTAAATAAGATATTGTAGAGAAGCAATAATAGTTTTACAATAATAAATAACTGAAATATATTCAGTAAATGAACTGTAAATGCTTAGTATGAGTCTACACAGGTGTAATGAAGTTCTGGCATATTCTGTGTTTTGTCCTTCACTGATCTAGCAAGGAGCTTCACCCGAGCCGAATAGATGTATTTATTTAAACTCAAGCTGCTAGGTGTCATTTAAAACACAATGTTCCCACCCTGAATTATATCCATACTGCTCAGATTAACCAAAGAGCGAACTCTGATCGTAGGAGCTAACCCCAAAAACCCTCGCACTCAGCCCCCCAGTCCCCCCGTCCTCACCCCACTCCACTTTAAGCCTCTGTTCATTACATGCAGAGGAAACAGGATTGAGGCTCTGATCTGAAGTGTGGTCAATCAGAGCGGCTGGCTGCGGACGGGAATTACAGCCTGATCTGTCTGTAAATCTGTAATGCCAGACTAATTTAGCCAGCAGCTAAATGCCACCATATGGCTGCCGCTGGATCCTAGTTACATCCAGGCGGCCTGGATTCTGACTAAAAGACAAACTGTGGATTAATGCTTTTGAATAAAAGAGGGGAGTTTAGCCTCAAATACAGAGGTGGGAGAAGTACTCATATCTTGTACTTATGTAGAAGTAGAAGTACCAGAGTGTAGGAATACTCTGTTACAAGTGAAACGCCTGCATTCAAAATGTTACTCGGTTCAAAGTAGAAAAGTATTAGCATCAAAATATACTTACCAAAAGTAAAAGTACTCATAATGAAAATTGGCCGATTTCAGAATTGTATATGTTTTGATTTTAATTATTGATGTATTAGAGTTATCAAAGCTGGTAAAAGTGCAGCTTGTGAATATGTAACTAAAGTCTTTTAAGTGAATTTTATATTTCACATCACCAATCCCAATCTGTAAATCAACTAAAGGTATTAAATAAATGTAATGCAGTAAAAGTACACCATTTACCTCTGAATTGTAGTGGGGTAGAAGTACAAAGCAGCAACCATTTTAAATACTCAAGTGAAGCACAAGTCTCTCAAAATGAAGAACAGTACTTGAGTAAATGTACTCGCACACCGCTGCTCAAATAATAAATTCTAGTGCGCTCTGTTGCTGCGTTTTTCCTCAGCGTTGGTCTGCGTGCCCTTACAGCCCGGAGCGTGATGAGAGAGGAAGTGATTGCTGTTGCCTGGAGCGATGAACTTAGTGACCCCTGGGGCCCTGGAGTTGACACCCCCGCTCCGACACACACACTTTAACGCACACACACTTTTATTTTTTGCCCCTGGGGTGCCATATCTAATTTGCCCCTAGCCAATACAGCTTAACCCCTCCCCTCGCTGCTTCACGGGGGAATGAGCATTAGGGGACCCTGCCCGCCATTATTGCACACTGAACATGGTGTGTGTGTGTGTGTGTGTGTGTGTTTGTTTGTGTAGGCTCGAATGCTGGATGTTATTTTATGGAAGCATCAGACTGAGTTTTATTTTTGTGTTCTTAACAGACGTGGTACCAAGAAGAAGCCCCCCTGGCCGAGGTCAAAAGAGCGGCACCCAAGCTCAAAGTGGAAGAAGGCCCAAGCTTTCAAAGCCCTATCATTGCCCTCTGTAAGGAGGACAAAGCCCAAGGTGAGCCGCAGGAGGTCCCGTGTTGTTGTCAGACATGATATGGAGCTGAACCAAACGTACTGTATAATGCACTGGGAGGTGTGCAAAGGTTACTTTTGAAGCTACGTTAAAGCATTAGGAGGCATATAGTTTAAAGTGCAACAGCCCCTGATTGACTTTTTTGCTTCAGATCTGCATTAATCAATCGATTGATGGACAATATGACATTTAGATTATTTAATTTAGAAATGAGTCACTAAATGAAATGTTCTTTGTAAAAGCAGACTCCTGTATTTCCCCCTCGACTCATGTGTCTTTCCTCTTGTCTCTTTCTACAGAAGCCTTAAAGATGTTTAAGGAAGCCAATAATAAGGGTTCGACAATTAACGCCATCACATACGATCACCTGATCCGCTCGCTGCTGGCCGAGGGGTCCTTTAAAGACGCCATGGCAATCAAAAACATGTGAGTGCCTAATCATCTATCTATGTGTCCTCTCATTCTGCAACAACACATTTGGGTAAAGCTTTACTAAACCATTAAAAAAGGTTTATTTCAGCGTTTTCTTTAATACCAGGCATATATGTTAGTGTAATCCAACAATTGTGACTCCAGTTTGAAAACCCATTTTTGCACGAGACGTGTATGTTTTTTTTTCTTTCAATCTTTTTTGACAATTGGTTAATCTATTAGCCGTTTCATAGTTGCAGCTCCTTATCGATCAGTGTTATTTTTTTGCTTTCTGTCCTGGTATTTAGTATCTAGTCGAATGAGCCCAAGCATTTGTAAGTGTACTTTGTTGGTTGAGATCATCACGAATCAAAAGACGGATTGTACACTGGTGTATTTTAGCTGTCGGCACAATACATTCAACCTGTGGTGCGGTTAGTGCTCTGCTACGTTCTCCGTCTCTTCAGCCTGTGGCACCGGGTCACCTCGGGCTAAAAGTCTCCTCAATAGACACGAGGATTATAAAGTGATTGTGTGCTGACACACTCGGCCCTGCTGGATATGAACAGTTGTTCTTACTAAGCCCCACGATACACACACGCTCCGGTGTGCAGATTAATTTAGCTTTTCTGGGAAGCGGGTGACTTTGTGCACACACATCAATCTTCTTCCAATTAGTAATGTATCGTGTGTTGTTGTGTGCGGGGCCATATCAGGGCCTGGAGACGCACAGACAGAGTATCTGAGCTTACTGCTGATCTTTACTGTTTGTCTCTTTAGGTCATCTTTTTGTCCCCTTTCTTTGTATCACTTTCACGTTACAAAGAAAAAAACACACAAGCAACGTGTTGAAATAATAATAAAGTGACACTGACAGAAGAGATGCCGTTAATCATTTGTAGGAAAGATTTGGAAAAAAAATGTGTGTAAAAACATCCATTACACTATCAGTCTCTTCCCTGTTTTCGGCTCTACACGATTCACTCTCTTATGTTTGAGAAATAATCGTATCAATTTTCGACCCCTGTTTGAACAAGAGCGAGGCAATACAAGTGATAACCCATCTCCAGTCTTTGATTTGGTTTATGGCATCCCTGCCTGGATAAAAGCTGCGTTTATCTGCACTCTAAATGAGAAGTGAAATGAGCTGAGCGGAGAGTCGGGAAGGATGGAAGTGGGCAGGGAAGGAAGGAGATAAAGAGAGCTCAACTGGAAAGGGGGAGTGAAGGAGGCGAGGAGGGCTAGATTTAATCACGTACGAGGTTAATGAAGACGCTATGGGCATTAATTCTGTGTGTGTGTTTTGGGGTAATCTGTACAGAATTGAGCAGCGGGGTGCTTACGGTGAGATTAAGGGATTGGGCGAGAGTGATAATGAGAGAAAGAGGAAGGGGTGGATGTTTCATTGGTTAACGCACAAACCCCCAACACATTATTACAATCTGTAAACAGTACCTGCTCATTTCTATGGTCACTTGGCTACTTAGTTTTTCTGACATTGTGTTCTACTTGTTTATTTCATATTTAAGTCTATTCTTTATGCTTTATCTGCACTACACTTCTGCTGTTATACCGTAATACTGGAAAATGTCCCTGCAGCGGAACAAATAAAGACATTCTGACCCTGAAAGAGAAGGCGAGTGAGGGTGTGTGTTAGGAAAAGGTGAGATTTCCTCCCTACCAATAAGGATATTTCATTCTGACCCCACTTCTCGGTCTCCTCGGCAATCCGTCGTCGACCCCCTTTCCCGCTCAAATCTCCGCCCTGACCCCGCCGGATGCTGCTTGGCCCAGTGTCGCCGTGGTGATAAGGATTGCCCGACTGATGCTCAATTGAGCGGGCGGATTAATCTGGTTGCAGGGATATAATAAGAAATAAAATCAAAGGACCGGAGGCAAGCTTGATTGAGGTTTTAGCGGCGGAGAAATGAAAAGGGAGGAGGGTGGCAAACATATACGAGTAGATGGAGGGGGAAGAAGGCGGGTTGTCCCAGCCGCTCGCATCATTCGTGGAGTGGCTCAGGAGGAAGTAATCAACTGTTTGATGTCTGTATTATTTTCGGGGTTAGGCGCTGTACAAGAGGCTCAGACGTGCTTTCAGTCATATTTGTTCCCATTGTCTTCTAGCTTTCAGCTCCTGTGTTCATCCACTCTTTCTCTGTGGAGTCTGTTTGTGATGCCTTATAAACAGCCAAAGTTAAGAAGACAAAAACACCACGGAGATTAAACCCAAACCATCACAGATAGTGAAGATGTTTTTGATATAATAGTGTACATTATCAGCTCTAAGAAAACAATGGACTTTCTTTGTACAATCCACACAGGTAGGGCCTTTGTGTCTCCATTGAAACCCTTTACACACTACTTCACAGATAACGTAGTTTTAACCCAGAAGTGATCATCACCCTGGATCCCTCGACCAAAAGCCTTCCATTATATTTTAATTCAAATACATTTTCAGACTTGTCAGGTCTGTAAGTAAAGTTAAAGAGGCTACAACCAGAATATTAACATCCTTTTCATCTCTTTTTTAGTGCTCTAGCTCGTATGCCAACGTTCCAGATGAGTCCTGCTGCCAACGACCTGTACATCATCACCAACAGCATGCAAGGCCACACTAATGGTGAGAAACACACACACACTCACGCACGCACACACTCGTTCAAACACATAAACTCACCTCACACTGGTCCACAGATGCTCTGGAGAGGATGAGGTCTTTGCTGCTGGCAAACCAGATGCCCTCACAGCTCGCCATCACCAGGCTGGTTCAGGCGCTCGGCAACAGCGGCGACGTGTCGGGGATCCAGGAAGTGCAGCAGCTGATAAAAGGCTACAGCAAGGTGGTCAACCTGTCCAGCATGATTTTTGTCAACAACACAGCGATGGCACACATCAAGAGGTGAGCATGATTTTGATCTGAAGAGGTACCAGAATGTGCAGAATGTTTTTGACTGCCAATTTCCTAGTTTTTGTAAAAGAAATTGACTATTCAAGTGCCTGGAAAATCCTATAAGTCCCTAAAAGTCTACACAAAGGAGCAGTAATTTAGGACTTTTGTAATGTATGAGGCAAATGCAGCTTTTCAGGTATTTCCCATAAATCTTATATTTCCAGAAAAGTTGTCATTACATCACCTGTGGTTCTAATCCTCACCAATCAAGTGCAGTAATACAAAGGGAAAACAAATCACTATAGATGGGCAGGGCTCATTTCAATGTACAATCCATTGTAAAATCCATTATACTACTTTGTAAACTCCATGTGGAGCACACAAAAGATAAAGCCCTTCTTGCAACACCAGGAGCCGAGTGTGACAAGACCCGCGTTGACACACTCTTAAAGTAAAAGCTCACAGGCGAGTGGGGCGTCGAGTACAAATAGGAAACACCGGCATAATAGGATTATTCATGGGTTCCTTTTAATGTCAGGGAATTGCCCATCCTCCACTTCTGCTTCTCAAACAATAGAGGACAAATATATGAAACGCATGGAGCATCAAACTTTCATCGCGCTACTCGCCGCATTAGCGCTGTCCCCCGGCCGGAGCGGCAGCGTTGCCGTGCCGACTCGCAGGGACAGCAGGAAGGGAAGAGCGGCAAGACAGTCTCACGCCCGATTGGGGCCTGTCAGCTTGAACCCTGACCTCTCGGGCGGCGCTCTGAGCGGCTCTGACACGTCCCCGCTGCGTCTGAGTCGAGCTGACTGGTTAAGAGCCGGGGCGGAAAAAGCAAAGCAGGCCCGGAAAGCGCGGCGCCACATTGAGAGGGGGCCCCCGCTGAATTATTCAGACGGTCCCAGTCGCAACAATCAGCGTAGATATGTTCCCCCACCTCTGCATACACACACGGAGCCACACACACACACACACCCTGCGAGTTAAATATTCATCACGACTGCTGACGGTGGGAGGGAGCGTAAAGTGTTGGGTTGCCAGATCGAGTTGTTTTAGATTTGTAGCGCTTTGCTGTGCAGGCTTTGTTTGCTTGTGGCAACCTCAGCAGAAAAACATGGTGGTAGGAGAAAAATGAAACCCATATGATTTTAATATTTAATTTCTTAAGTCTTAAAACAGCATGGGGGGGGGTGGAGTTTTTATTGTTCTCTAATCAGGCCAGTTTCTCAGATCAGTGTTTGTTTCTTCTCCCAGCAGAGTATCTGTAGTAAGGAAGGCAGTATAGGGAATGTTGTATCTCACAATTTACACACAGAAGCATCCAGAATATGCCTTTACGTAACAAGGATAAAAGTAAGGATGCAGAGGTTGCGTGATAGAAGGATGTGAACCACAAAAGACCCTGCTCACCACTAGGGATGGGGTATCGTTAAGGTTTTAACGGTACTACTACTTTTATCGATACCGCTTATCGGTCCGGTCTTTTAACGGTACTTTTATCGTTACTTTTGGAGAAAAACAAATTGTGAACAAAACTAACATTGCGTTTTATTTAAATTTAAATACATAATATTTCACATCAAAAGAAACAATGTTTTCACAAATCGTATTAAATAATCTGATGACAGAACTGTAAACAGAATAGGTGAAACTTTAACAAAATAAATAACTCAAGTTACCTCTAATCATTAACCCATGTTTGAATAATGAGTTAACTGTGTGTTGCTGCTAGCATACATAACACCTGACGTGGAGCCGTTACTCGTGGGTGGGGCTACAGAGCTACTAGAAAGACAGTCGAACCCGGTGCATTTCTCCGTCTGGATGTGGTGCACTTTTGCAAGATGTTTAGAGAAATTGCTCGTGTTAACGTAAACCTCACCGTAGTTACAGTACAGCGGCATTTGACGTTTTTGCAGGAACATTCGCTTCTCGTTTCTCCTATTTCTGTTTTGAACTTTAAACGTGGACATTTTCCTAGGTGTAGTTTTGAACTATTCTTACTAAACTAACCCTTTGTCCCCTTTCCCCTCCTCAGTGGTGATGTGGACAGTGCAATGGAGGTGTTGGAGGCCGTCTACACCAATCCAGACACCCAGAGCCAGAGCATGGCCTTCGTCTTCAGAAAGACAATGGAAGATAACAATGACAAAGCGTTGGACAAATGTAAGAAAACACACACAAAATGCATACTTGTATATCGAAAAAATACAAACAATATAAAACCACAAGCATAATAACTGTAAGAATGATGCAATCCACATTATTATTGACCCAATGTGCATGCTGTGTTGCAGTGAGTGCTATGGCAGAGCGGCTAGCCAATCACTTCGCCTGCTACAGACCGGCGTCAGACCTCTTCGTGCAGCTGCTGGACGCCGACAAAGTGGAGGACGCCAAGTTCATGCTGGCTGTGAGTACAAGTGTGTGTGTGGGTGTGTGTGTGTGTGCGCGTGTTTGTGTCTGTAATTTGACCTAGGTGGTATCAGTGTTAAAGTATGTTTTTTTAAGATTCAATATTTTATATTCATATGTTTCGCTACTGCTAGGTTTGTGTTGGCAAAGCTACATTGTGTTTCAGAGTGTGTGTTTGTGTGTATGAGTTGTTTGGATGTACAGTTGCAAGAAAAAGTATGTGAACCCTTTGGAATGACCTGGATTTCTGCATAAGTTGGTCATAAAATGGAGGAAGCCACTGCTGTCCAGAAAAAACATTGCTGCACGTTTGAAGTTTGCAAAAGAGCACCTGGATGTTCGACAGCACGACTGGCAAAATATTCTGTGGACAGATGAAACCAAAGTTGAGTTGTTTGGAAGGAACACACAACGCTATGTGTGGAGAAAAAAAGGCACAGCACACCAACATCAAAACCTCATCCCAACTGTGAAGTATGGTGGAGGGAGCATCATGGTTTGGGGCTGCTTTGCTGCCTCAGGGCCTGGACAGATTGCCATCATCNGCTAGGTTTGTGTTGGCAAAGCTACAGTGTGTTTCAGAGTGTGTGTTTGTGTGTATGAGTTGTTTGGATGTATTTGGTTGTGTCTGAGATGAGTTACACTTCGATCAATATCAGAGGGAAATTAAACATCATTCATGCAAATGCATNCAACTATAGGAAACGTTTGGTTGAGGTTATTGCTGCCAAAGGAGGGTCAACCAGTTATTAAATCCAAGGGGTTCACATACTTTTCCCACCCTGCACTGTGAATGTTTACATGGTGTGTTCAATAAAAACATATAATTGTGGTTTTAGCTTAAGCAGACTGTATTTGTCTATTGTTGTGACTTAGATGAAGATCAGAACACATTTTATGACCAATTTATGCAGAAATCCAGGTAGTTCCAAAGGGTTCACATACTTTTTCTTGCAACTGTATTTGGTTGTGTCTGAGATGAGTTACACTTCGATTAATATCAGAGGGAAATTAAACATCATTCATGCAAATGCATTAAAGTACATTACAGGCTGCTCTCACTCACTTCTCTTCATTACTATTTAAACACTAAGTGAAGAAATCCATGGTTTCCAGGTCAGAACGTTTCATGTCACACACATGTGTTAATTATAACCCTTCATTTTGTCTTTGTGCAAATAGGAGATAAGGGTTACCTCTAAATAAATCAAAATGTGTGATTGTGACAAAAGAAAGCACCATTTATACATCTCTTCTTCTCCACCAAACACATGAATCTGCTAAAGTGAAAACTGGAGCTGTGTTTGAGAAACCAAAATGCAGGAACTACTTTTTTATTATTTAGGTTGGAGCGGCACAGCATGAGGAGAGAGCTCTTCGAAATGTTGTTTTTCACTTTTTGTGACCACTTCAACTACATTTTGAATCATGTGGAGCATTTTGTCCCGGGGCACACTTCTCCATTTGAGCGTCTCACTCTTGACTACGTTATTACATCCAAGTAATTAAAATCCTCACGAAAAACCCACAAATCAACAAGCGAAGTGGAGATGAATGGAGTCCATCACAACCCCCCCATGTATTCGTCCTGTTGTCAGTTGTTGACTTATTCATCCAGCCTCACATTATGTCAGGAAGTGCTTCCCCACTCCACCATAGAGTCTGTTGGTCTGAAATTGGCCTCCTACTGCTTCACTTATTTAACACAGTTCATACATTACAGCTCGATGACTTTGCATTGAACCCGGGGACATGAATATGTATAAGCTGGATGAGTGAGAGACAGGAGGAACGATGAGAAAGAGATCAAACTCTAAAAAAAAAAAAATGTAGACTCCTGTGTCCTCTCTGAAAGGATTTCACTCTCACTTTGAGTGATTACTCGTCTCTGTTGCATGTGTGACTAGAGCGCACACTAATAAACACAGATATATATTACTAACCGCCTCACTTACTCCACTTCATCTCTCACGACTGAAAGGAATCTGTTTTTCAGGTCGTACAATGTTCTTGTCACACTAATCTTAGCGGCTCTCATCTTCACCCTGACATGCATTTGCTATTTGTTTGTGACATATTAAATCCCTTCTGTAAAGTGTAATGTCACTGCGAAAGTAGGTGTTGTTTAATTTTAAACAAGCAGGAAATGGGCTACTCAATCAGTTACATTTGAGTATTTCCCCCTGGCCCTCGAATGGCGCATGTCCACTACAGCGCGGTTTAAGCGAGCTGTGCACGGCCCATTTTTGGTTGCGTTTCCACTAGGCGTAGTAACGGCTAGCGGGTACTATTTCACAGTTTTTCTGGCCCCATGAAATCGAGGTTCTTTCCGGGCCAACAACCAGGCTGAGTCGGGCTGAGTGAAAGAGAGAGAATCGCTGGCAAGGGGGCTACAACTACAACAAGATGAACATATTTGACCGTGATTTAATTGTAATACACGTTTCAAAATGATGCCGAAGTAACAACATACTGATAGCGGTTAGTAAAAACCATGAATTAATGCTTTGACAAGTCTGCAGACAGACGGCAGGCGAAAAACCTTTTCAAATGCGTGTTGTCTAAATGGAGATCGGCTAAGCTAACGCAGCATATGCTCCGACCGTCCACACTCACAACAACGGACATAAATAAAGCAGCGACTGTATTCGCCATGACACAGACAGTCTGTGGTTTGTACTTGTTTCACTTTTGTCTAGTTTCTGAACAGATATGAGGAGCTGTGAGCTTGAGTGCTAACAGCTAACGGCTGATGTTGGTTTTCTGTGGTTCGCATTGAAGATAATAATAATAATAATAATAATAATACATTTTATTTTTAGGCGCCTTTCATGACACCCAAGGACACCGTACAATTTGTTAAAAAAAGAAAGAAAACGCTAATAGGCAACAAAACATGATAAAAAAACAAACAGGAAATCAGGTTATCTTGCTGCGAGAAGAGTAAAGAGGAGATAGTCTGTGTGATTTACTTTAAATTGTGGGTGGATAGCTCCCATTGTTCTGTGACCTGTCAATCATCAAACCGGGGTTCATATTTCATTAT